CCGCATGCCTGTAATTCTGGCTACTTGGAAGGCTGAGGCGGAAGGATCACCAGAGCCCAGCAGTTCGAGGCTGCGGTGGCCGGGAGCAGCCACTGCACTCCAGTCTGGGCAACAGAGTGATACTCCAACTCAAAAAAAAGAAAAGAAAAATGGGAACAGAATCTGCTATCGTTTGGACTTTGAAATAGACTAAGTACATATGAACCAAGCAGTGTTTGCATTTTAAGTTGTTTTCCTAAGTAGTCAATGGAAGGACAGTAAAATTACATTTTGTTGAACCCCGTGATTGGGCATTTTATAAACATTATCTCATTTAATTTCACCACAAACTTGCAGAGAAATGACTACTGTCCTCGTTGCAAATAAAACAGACTCATCCGAGGTCACATGACTAGTGTATCTATAAACTGAGTCAACACCAACAATGTTTTCCCAGATGAAGACACTTCGGGAATCTGCAAAGTGATGAAAACTTTATTTTAGGAGTAGTGGACTCCCTACATTAAACCGGCTATTTTACCCAGAAGACAATCTTGACTTTGTACCCGATATTTCCAAACTGAAACTTCCCTTATTTGAAATCTTTGGATGCATTCCCTTGCTTCATATGTCGTTTTTACTACAGGTAATGAAGTTACTAGATTTTGGATGAGCTTAATTCAATGAATAATGTATTGAGAACCCACTATATTCTAAGTGCAAGAGACCCAAATATACAAGCTCTGTGTCACATCAGAAATCCAAGACCTCTGAAAACTTTTTTTTTAAGTAAGTAAATTTTGCTAATTTTCACAGTATGCTGACAAATTTTATTAGATAGCCTCTAAAATGAAATCGTTCCAGGCTGGGTGCAGTGGCTCACGCCTGCAATCTCAACACTTTGGGAGGCTCAGGTGGGAGGACTGCTTGAGCGCCAGAGTTCGAGACCAGCATGGGGAACATAGCAAGACCTCATCTCTACAAAAAACACAAAAAACTATCTGGGCATCGTGGCATGTGCCTGTAGACCCAGCTACTCAGGAGGCAGAGGCAGGAGGATCGGCAGAGGCAGGTGGAGGCTGCGGTGAGCCGTGATCACGTATTCCTGCCAAGGCAACGGAGTAAGACCCTGACCCTTTCCGCCCCCCGCAAAAAAAAAAAATTAAGGCATTCTGGTCTTACAACCCACTTGTAGAAAGCTACAGCATTTCAGCAGAAATAGTCAGCAATTCACATTCTTCTTGATTGCACTGGGTTCAGTTAGTGATAAGACTGCATACATTGATTCTGCCTAAATGGTGCGGACTCTTGTTGGTATGGGATAAATTACCTCAATAATAAACGCATTTTCTTCAGTTGATATAGCAAGGCACATTCAATAAAAAAGTATAACTTTCTTCCCCAAAGTTTGGTAGTTGTAAATACCCTCTTGCAGCATAAGAAGACATAAGAATACATCGAGATGTTAGAAATGCGACATAACCCTGATCTTGGCAGTGCTATGCCAAGGAATGTGCTCTCCTCTTAGACTTGGGATCGATAGTCCTCAAGGCACTTGGCAATAAATAGCTCAGGGACTAGGACGTTCTGCAAGATTCTCTTGTTCTTCATGCAACCACCATTTCCACAGTATGCTGCACATATTAAAGGTGCCCCATCCTAATCTGTGAGTTTTCCCTTAAACTGCCTAAGTTTCAAATGACTTCAAGATGGCATTTTATCTGGAACACCTGACTAGAGGGGAAGCCTGTACTACAAGGGGCCCACCCACCAAAAGATACTTTCGGGTTGTTTTGAGCCCCTCTAATTTCAGTTTAGTTTATCAAGTGTTTATTAAGCGTTCATCTTATTTCAGGTACCATACCAAGTGCTGGGGAAATAATGTCTAAGACTCCACACACAGTTTGGAATGATTCCCATATAGCTAATCAATGAGGTCACCACTTCCATCATCAATTGGTGCATTTTGTAGACCAATGTAATACAGTGAGACCTCTATACCAAACTAAGTTTTAGATAAATAAAAGATTTAAACATAAAAATCAAGTCATAAAAGCAATTTAAAAAGAGAATTAAAGTAATTATAGTAGAGGAAGCCTTTTTAAAATACAACCCCAAAGCCAAGCATTTAACTACATAAAAATTTCAAAATTAAAAGTAGAAAACTCCCTTATTCCCCTCTCCGCACCTCCCTCTCAAAGACCTACCACTAACAAAATCAAAAGATAGCCTGGGGAAAAGTATATGCAATTCATATTTCACACAAGCAACTAATATCTTTAACGTTCCTATAAATCAATAAGCAAAAGATCAACATCCCAATAGAAAAGTGGGCAAAAAACCTGAAAATCCGGTTCACCAAAAGAAAATGCGAAATGTTCAACCTCACTTATAATCACAGAAGTGCAAACTCAAACTACAACAAATTACTATTTTTCACTTAGATTGGCAAGGATCAGATAGTCTGTGTTAATGAGGGCATGGAGAAAATATCACATATTGCAAATGGGACATAATTGGTACAGCTCAGTGAGGGGCAAATACATCGATGTCTATCAAAATAAAAATGCAGCCGGATGCAGTGGCTGACGCCTATAATCCCAGCGCTTTGGGAGATGAAGGCGAGAGGACTGCCTGTGTCCAGGGGTTCAGATCAGCTTGGGCAACTTGGCGAGACCCCGACTCTACAACAAATAAAAAAATTAGCCAGGCATGGTGTTGGGCGCCTGTGGTTCCAGCTACTTGGAAGGCTGAGGCAGAAGGACTGTTTGAGCCCAGTAGGTGGAGGCTGCAGTGGCCATTGAACTCCAGCCTGGGCAACAGAGTGAGATTCCTACTTAAAAATTAAAAAAAATAAAAATGCAAGTAGCATTTGATTTTATACTATGATAGACACATATTACTATTTAAATAGACGGATAATTTAAAAGTATTTTTTAAAGTTCTATTTAAGGCTGGATTTCTTAAAAAGTACGGTGATAGGCCGGGCTTGGTGGCTCAGCCTATAATCCCAGCACTTTAGGAGGCTGAGGAGTGGATTGCCTGAGCCTGCGGATTCAAGACCAGCCCAGGTAACATGGCGAGACCTCATCTCTACAATAAATAAAAAACGAGGCTTGGCTCGAGACCAGCCTGGGCAGCGTGGCAAGATCTTGTCTCTACAATAAATAAAAAACTAGGCCGGGCTCAGTGGCTCAGCCTGTAATCCCAGAACTTTGGGAAGCAGAGGCGAGTGGATTGCCTGAGTCCGAGGGTTCGACACCATCCCGGGCAACTTGGCGAGCCCTGTCTCTACATTAAAAATAAAAAATTAGCCAGGTGTGGTGGCACACGCCTGTAGTTCCGGCTACTTAGAGGGCTGAGGCATAAGGATCACCAGAGTCCAGCAGGTCGACGCTGGGGTGGCCGTGAGTGAGCCACTGTCCTCCAGCCTGGGCAACGGAGTGAGACTCCAACTGCAAAAAAAAAAGAAAAAAAAGCACGGCGACTACTTCCTCTTCCCTTTACATTATAAATGCTGACCAGTTCCAAAAAGTCAGAATGAATATAATCAAGGTAACCACCTGCCTACTGTGCAATTCTCAAGTTGGTTGTTTAGGATTTCTTCCTTTAGACTGGAAAATGCAGTTTATTTAGAAAGTAAACTAGAGAGAGGGGTGAGAGGAAATTCACTCCTCCAAGGTAGGAGAGGGGACCAAAGCTTGGAAAACATGGCCACACCGGAGTTTAGTGAAGCAGTGGTTTGCTTAGGCTTTCTTGAAATAATGCTTATTGTGAATCTGTGCTTTTCCACGTTTGACCTTCAAAGTACTTTCCTCCAAAAAAAAATAAAGCAAAAATTCAAGGGTCGCTACCGCTTCTCTTGACTACGAAAAGGCCTCTAAAAGGAAACGAAGGACGAGAAAGAAGACAGCCTTGCAGCAGTCAGGGCCTGGAAGAGGATCAGAGCCCCCGGAGCGCCAAAGGAGACGACGCACAAGGCATCCCCCGCAGCGCGGCCCGCGAGGACGCGCTCGCCGCCCCCACTCACCAGCCCGTCCTTCCCGTCCTTCCCGTCCCCGCGGCCCCGGCGCCCGGGTCGGGCTGCGGCGCCC